CCCACCCGTGACAAGTCAACCAGTTCATTTTCCAGGTGCACCTGCAACCAGCGGAAGACGGATTGATGTTCCACCTCCTAGAGCCCCACAGCCTCCGCCGCCTCCGGCGCAACCCGCACCTAGCCCTAGTCCTTCTCCATACCCATCTCCATCCCCCGCCCAGTGGCCTGGTGCCCCACATGCGCCACCATCGAGAGGTCCTATGCCTAGCAGCACTCCAGGCATGCTTGCTCCTGGCCCATGGCCTCAAGCTCCACCTCCGCAACCACCTACGACAGTTTCTACACCTAGCCATCCTCCAGGGGCACCTCCACACCTCGGAAGACGGATCGATGTTCCACCTGAAGCAGTGCCTCCGCCTACGCATTCCACAACTGCCCCTGCACCTGTGCCACCGTCGACGAGAGGTGTTCCACCTATGCACCCACCTCAGCCTACGCCCTATCCCATAGGTGCCCCTTCTCAACGTCCATCGACATCCTCCGCTGGACGGCCTCATGCCCCTGGGCCTGCGCCACCATCTGCTCCAGCTGCTCCACCTACGCAGCCACCTCAGCCAATGCCCTATCCCACAACTGCCCCTTCTCAACGTCCATCGACATCCTCCACTGGATGGCCTCATGCCCCTGGGCCTGCGCCACCATCTGCTCCAGCTGCTCCACCTACGCAGCCAACTCAGCCTACGCCCTATCCCACAACTGCCCCTTCTCAGCGTCCATCGACGTCCGCCGTTGGGCGGCTCGATGTCCCTCCGCCTTCGTCAACATCTGCTCCAGCTGCTCCACCTACGCAGCCACCTCAGCCAATGCCCTATCCCACAACTGCCCCTTCTCAACGTCCATCGACATCCTCCACTGGATGGCCTCATGCCCCTGGGCCTGCGCCACCATCTGCTCCAGCTGCTCCACCTACGCAGCCAACTCAGCCTACGCCCTATCCCATAGTTGCCCCTTCTCCACGTCCATCGACATCCTCCGTTGGGCGGATCGATGTCCCTCCGCCTCCGTCAACATCTGCTCCAGCTGCTCCACCTACGCAGCCACCTCAGCCAATGCCCTATCCCACAACTGCCCCTTCTCAACGTCCATCGACATCCTCCACTGGATGGCCTCATGCCCCTGGGCCTGCGCCACCATCTGCTCCAGCTGCTCCACCTACGCAGCCAACTCAGCCTACGCCCTATCCCATACGTGCCCCTTCTCAACGTCCATCGACATCCTCCACTGGATGGCCTCATGCCCCTGGGCCTGCGCCACAATCTGTTCCAGCTGCTCCACCTACGCAGCCACCTCAGCCTACGCCCTATCCCACAACTGCCCCTTCTCAGCGTCCATCGACGTCCGCCGTTGGGCGGCTCGATGTCCCTCCGCCTTCGTCAACATCTGCTCCAGCTGCTCCACCTACGCAGCCACCTCAGCCAATGCCCTATCCCACAACTGCCCCTTCTCAACGTCCATCGACATCCTCCACTGGATGGCCTGATGCCCCTGGGCCTGCGCCACCATCTGCGCCAGCTGTTCCACCTATGCATCCCCCTCAGCCTACACCCCATCCTGCAGTTGCCCCCTCTCCACGTCCATCTACATCCTCCGTTGGGCTGCCTGTTGCCCCTCCACCTCCGCCACCACCTACGAAGGGCCCTCCACCTCCGACACTACCTAAGCCCAAGTGGAGACCTCCGGCCCCTAGCTCTTCTCCAGACCCTTCTACACCCTCCGTCCACGGGCCTGGTGACTCGCCGGCACAAGCGCCTCAGCCAGATCCCACCGCCGGCCCTCCTCCAAGCACACCCTCAACAGAAGATTCCGGCACTCCACGTGCTCCAACACCTACGGCACATCCCGGATATGGTTCTCTTCCACGCACTAGTTCCAGCGGAAGAAGTGGACATTCTGGCTTGGGTCCCAGAAGTAGCTCTACTGGAAGCATAAGTTCTTCTATCAGCGAAAGGGTGGATGTTCCACCTGATGTACCGTCTGAAGAAGGCCCCAAATTTGGTACTCCTCCACGCAAACTCCCTACCCTCCTCATCCAACATCTTCAGGCGCCAAGTGGTACGGAGTCTGCTCCCAGTGATGTGGAAACTCAGCCGCCTGAGCAACCAGTTCAGACAGCAACTGATGCGCCTGCACCTCCTCCGGGACCCCCACAGCAACCTCAGCCTGAAACTCCCGGGGAGCCATCAGCCCCATCCCCTCCGCAGGTGGCATTGCAGTCCACGCAGCCGTCTGAAACTCCTGCCCCTCCCCCATCCACAACTCCGGAAGTACCTGATGGTGAGAAATCCAAGAAGAAATCTAAGAAGGGAAAAAAGGCTAAGTCTTCAGATGGCGGAGAGCCTGAAGGCGGTACTCATCCCACGGGAAAAAAGAAGTCCCCATGGGGTTGGGGCTCGAAACGGAAAAGCAAGGATTCGAAGGTCACTTCCTCTGAAACGGCTTCGCCACCGCCACCCCCACCATCCCAAGACCCTGTAGAGCCATCTACGTCTTCAACCACTTCCACTTCTCCACCCGGGCCTCAAGAACCCGCGCTGCGCCCTCCTTCTGCGCCTGGAATCCCTGCCGTTCCCTCTGAAGCTCCACAAGCACCTTCGCCTCCACCTTCTTCGTCTACTTCAACTGCACCTCCCCCTGGACCGCCCACAGGTAAATCCGCCGGGATTCTCTCATAGCTAGCCTCTCGGATCAAGGTTGGTGCAGTGTTTTCTTCACATAGAGCATCACTTCGGCATCCGTATGAATATATCCTCACGTCTCTGAATGTAAGTACTATAAATCTCTTGAGAGCTTTCCTCCATTGCCTTCTTGTGCCCGTCCTGCAGAATCAGTCTCAGAGCCGCGCGCTGCATCTCCAGCACCGTCTCCGCCTGGCCCTGCTACGCCGGCGCCTCCAGTGCTCCCCCCTCGACCAGATGAAGAAACGCCCCCATATCAAGGGCCCGCGCCAATTCAACAGCCTGGATCTCCACCTGAACATCCACCTTCCCTACCTGGGGCAACCGTGCCGCCCACACCGACCCCAGCTCCCCCGTCTGATGGACCGCAACCTGCTACGCCTCTGGATTATCAAGGGGGCGCCCGCCCGAAATATGGTCGTCCGCCAACCGTTCCAGTACCACAACTTCTCCCGCCGACGTCTACTGATCCACATCACAGAAGACGAGGCCCTATCACCCCCGGTAAGCCAAGCACACTCCTGCCGTCATGTATGGCGCCTCTA